ATTGCTCTTTGGGTTATACTGAGCTGCTTTAAGGTTTTCTTTGTGAAGGCCATGGTCTCCAGTCCATATGTAGTTACAGGCAAGATACATTTGTCATAAACTCTACGTTTTAGACACATTGGTATATCTTTATTCTTCAAAATAAAGCTTAATTTGCCGAAAGCTCCCCAAGACAGTTGTATGCGTCTTTTTATTTCGGCTATTTGATTTTCTTTGCCGATTTTAATGGTGTGTCCAAGATATATATAGTGGTCTACATTTTCAAGTCTGACGTTGTCGATAACAAGATTACTTTGTAAATTACTCATTATTTTTGTTTTCTGAAGGTTCATTTTGAGACCTATTTTATTTGACTGCTTTTTTAATTCCTTCAAAATTTGCTCCAGTTCCTTGATATCTGTACTAAATAATACTATGTCATCTGCAAACCTCAAATGACTCAAACGTACACCATCAATGTTTAGACCTTTTTCCTCCCAGTCAAGCTGTTTGAATACATTTTCCAATGCTAAGGTAAAAATCTTTGGCGAAATAGTATCACCTTGTCTAATACCTTTATCAAGGCGCATTTTTTCAGTTTTTTCGTCTTCATTGATTTTGATGTGGAATGTGGCCTGTTCATAAATGTTTTTAATGAGTGTAGTGTACCGTGAGTCTATTCGAGCATCCTTCAGGGCTGACAAAAAGGACCAAGTCTCAATACTATCGAAAGCCTTGTGAAAGTCGATAAATGCCATATCTAAAGGTACATTATATTCTGTAGTTTTTTCTACTAGTGTTCTGATGGTTTGTAAGTGATCATTAGCACCAAACCCTTTTCTAAATCCCGCCTGTTCAACCGGTTGATATAAATCAAGTTTTTGTGTTATGCGGTTGGTTATTATTCTTGTTAACAATTTGTATAAGTGTGACAACAAACTTATAGGTCTGTAGTTTTCAATATTAGTAGTGTCTCCTTTCTTGTGTAAAAGTATTATTTCGGCGTTTTCCCATAGGCTGGGTATTCTTTTTTTCTGTAGACACTTATTCAGTAAGACTTCCACAACTTCTACAACGATGTTGCCGCCCATTTTTAACATTTCAGACGTTATACGATCCTCGCCGGGAGCTTTTTTGTTTTTCATTTGCTGTAAGGCAGGTCTAATTTCCGAAGAGGTTATTTTAGGGACGGTTTCTGAGCCGACGTTTAGAATTGTTCTGTGGTCTGTTTGGGGGTTCTGTATAGTAGATGTATAAAGATTCTTATAGAACGTTTGTATTTCCTTGATTATTTGAGTTTTTTCGGTCACCGTATTCCCCTGTTGATTTTTGATTTTAGTTATATTTAATTTTCCTTTAGTTAAATTTGATTTCAATACTCTCATGTTTCTATTGTTTTCGATGGTTTGCAATATTTGTTTTGTTTTATAAGCCCGCAAGTCTGACCTTATGCTCTTTTTAACTTTATTGTTGATAGCTTTATACTCTGGTAATTCTTTCGATGTTCTTCTTCTTTCTTCCATCAAATTAAGTGTTGTTTGTTTCAGTATCGATTTCTACTACGTGTATATAAAGGCTATGAGACGAATCATAAATAAAAATGATTTTGTGTTTAAAATATTTTATTAAATATGTACAAATCTATACACATATATACAAGAAATAAGTACGTATAAATATCAATCCACTAATTCAATTCACCACGGTATATAAGCTACAAATATTACAATTTTATAAATTATTTTTTTACGACTAAGCTAGAATTATATTAAAAATTTCACGTGAACATATCCTGTTCCTCATCTACAGAAGCAAAGTGCATTTCACCTGCTACGAATTATCGATCCTTCGCGTGCATTTTGCGAAGTCTTCATATGACTATTAGAAAATAAATTCAAACATTTTTGTGATACGTTTTCTTGGAAATTCGTCATTTTAGGTCAATTTTTCCTAAAGGTTTAATTAAGTAAAAGTTACATGTTTTTACCGTATGTTTGTTACTTAGGAGACTTGGGATAATCGAAAGCTGGTTGGTTTTGTGATATATGCAATGGATAAAAAGATTCTCTACAATCGATACGGAAGCTTACGCAAACTACCTATTACCAAACAAAGCTATACACAAAAATAATAATCGCAAACATCCCTGAAAATAACAAATATTAACACGTTGACGGACACTTGGTCTATAGCCGAAGCGAATTTCACTATGTGATGTGACGAAACTGTCGTTTTTAAACACTACACGTATCCTAGTGCCATGTTTTGGAAACAATTTTCTAGGTTGAATTTCGTTTTCCACTTGATACACGACTTGCAGGTTCAGTATGCACGTGGCTGTAAAAGGAGTAGTGCGATCGTGTCTTCTATTGAATTTATAGTTGGTATTGATACATTTATACAGGTTGTTTCAAAAACGTATGTAGTAAATTAAATCACGCATTCCGGGGACAAAAATAAATTGATTGAATCCAACTTACCTTAGTACAAAAGTGTACACAAAAAAAGTTACAGCCCTTTGGAAGTTATAAAATAAAAATTGTTTTTTGCCTTATCTCCTAAACTACTTTACATTTTGTAATAACAATAGACACGTTACTTTCTTGTTCTGAAAGAATTTTTCATACAAAAGACACAACAAAATCTAAGAGCACAGAAAAATTTTAAGGGGGTGTGTAGCCCTAAATCCCCTCAATCTTCTGAGTACGTTCAAATCAAATGAATTTTGTGGCATCATTAGTTTAACACATTATTTTTAAACCTTTTTTGCCTCATCACTTTTTCGAAAAACTAGTTTTTTTCTAGTTGGCCATGAAATTACAATTAGTTTCTACGGATACAATAATTACAAACAGTTTCATCAATAATAGTCAATAATTTGAAGCTATTATTTATTGTGTGATACACGATAGATGATTATTTCTGAATATTGATCGTCGTTTACGGGAAACGGGTACATTCCAACCGCAAGTTGCTGGCAATAGTGGTCGTCCAATAATGGATGCAACTGATGAAGACATTTTAGAAATTATTGAAGAAGTCCCTGGAACAAGTATAAGGGTAATAGCTGCTCAACTAAATGTTTCTCAAATAAGGGTTTGGAGGCGTTTGAAGGATCAGCTGCTTAAACCCTATCACTTAACAACGGTTCAAGAGTTATTGGTTGAAGATTATCCTAATAGGATTGTATTTTGCGATTGGTTGTTAATGGAAAAACACTCGAAATGTTAATTTTATTAAAAATATTTTATTTACCGACGAGGCTACCTTCAGTAGAAATGAAATAACAAACCATCATAACGAGCACATTGGGCCGACGAAAATCCTCACGCCAAAAAAACGACTCATTACCAAAGGACTTTCAAAGTTAACGTTTGGGCAGGAATTGTGGATAACAATCTAATAGGCCCAGTATTTCTTTCCAACAATTTAAATGGTGATAATTATTTGCAGTTCTTTGCAAACGATTTACAAGAGTATTTGGAAGAAGTGAATATTGCAATAAGGCAAAATATGTGGTTTCTACAAGATGGGGCTCCACCGCATTACACTAATGAAGTCCGGGAATTCCTTTGCAGGCAGTATTCTGGTCGGTGGATTGGAAGGGTTAGGGTGACGCACCTATTTCTTGGCCACCCAGAAGTCCAGGTCTTAACCCCATGGACTTTTGCTTTTGGGGGTTTATGAAAGAGAAAGTGTATTCTGTAACAATAGAGGACGAACAACAATTGAGGGTTAGAATAATTGAAGCTGCAAACCAATTTCGTCAGAAAAATTTGATTTTTCAGCGCATTCGGTTTTCCTTATTAAAACGATACCGAATGTGTATTGAAGAAAATGGGAGTCATTTTGAACATTTATTGTAATATCATATTTATAGAGGTTATAGATATTTTTTGTACTTGTTAATTCATTTAAGCCATTTATTTAGTTGCACGTAATTTTTTAAAGGTTAATGGCCATAACTCAATAAAAACTGTTTTTTGGAAAAAGTGATAAGAGGCAAAAAAAAAATTTAAAAATAATGTGTTACTAATGAGGCCACAAAATTCATTTAATATGAACGTACTCAAAAGTTTGGGGGGATTTAGGGCTGCACACCCCCTTAAAATTTTTCTGTGCGCTTAGATTTTGTTGTCTTTTTTATGAAAAATGCTTTCAGAACAAGAAAGTAACGTGTTAATTTTTATTACAAAATGTCAAGTAGTTTAGGAGATAATGCAAAAAAAACAATTTTTATTTTGTAACTTCAAAGGGCTGTAACTTTTTTGTGTACACTTTTGTACTAAGGTAAGTTGGATTCAATCAATTTATTTTTGTCCCCGGAATGCGTGATTTAATTTATGACATACCTTTTTGAAACAGCCTGTATGTTAGTTTATACTGGTAACTCTGGTATTTGTTTATTATTGATTTTGTTCACTTTAAACAGAAATAAAAATATGTTAATTTAGCATTTTTGATATATTACCCATATTTATACTGTTTACTTTTTGTTTTTTATGATTTTACAGTTAAAATATAAATAAATAATGATAATGTAAATAATAAATATATGTATATATTATAGGATAAATAATAATATAATATAAAATGTTCTATTAGTTACAGAAAATGGTCAGTTTTGAAAAAAAGATCAGGCTAGGCTGTTGTTTGAGGAAATGAGTAGTGGCTCAAGCAACAGTGAATCTGAATTTGATGCGGACAGTGCAAAAAATAATAAAAATAATAGTAGAAGAATATGAAGATCAGAAAATGATGAGACATGGCACATCAATACAACACATCAAAAGAAACTTTTCTTTTGACGCAGATGCCGCTAGGATTCTTTTGGATATACACGAAAATGTTTCTCTAATTCAGCTTACTGAGAAATGGGATGACCAAGTAATGGGAATGATTATAAAATCTACGAATGATTAGGGCATAAGACTTTGCAATCAAATACGGCCACATATAAGGCGTAGTAGTAAAGCAAATTTTCAAACGTACTGATACGATTGAAATGAGAAAATTTTTAGGTTTGTGTTTGCTTCAGTCCTAGCTAAAATTCTTCAGCATTAGAAAACACTTTTCCATTGATGCATTACATTACCGCCCAGTATTTCCTTCGCACATATCTGAAAGGAAGTTTGAGCAAATATTGAGATGCTTTTCTAGAAGAAGAAACTTCAAACGACCCTTTGAGGAAAATAAAAATATTTTTTGATTTGTTCATGAATGAACAAATGAAGCATTATCATTAGTCAAATCTTTGTTATCATTTCGATGAAGGCTTTATTTTCGCACGTACGTAAAAAGGCAAAATACGAAATTAAATTCTACGAGCTTAGTTCAGCCCAAGGTTATGTTTTAAGCATAGAAATATACAAAGACCATCGAGAAAAGAAAACATGACAACTATTGAAACTCTAATAATGGGATTGATGCAGTCATATTTAAACAAAGGCCATCATTTGTTCTTGTATAACTGTTCAAAAGTCTACCATGATCTCACAAATTACTTAACAAAAAAAAACACATATGACAGAAACTCTTCGAGTAAATAGGAAGGGTCTTTCACAATTAATATGTCATAAGCTTAGAAGAAAATATGTATGGCGACGCCAAAATCAGACATACGTGTCCAAAATGAGAACATAAACGGGATTTGCTAATCTAACAACAGCTTACGACCCAAGTACGATGAACATAGCTAACTGGCGACAACAGGAAAAGAGAAAACCAGTTGAAATAGTGTATTGTAATCAGAATATATCAGGTATTGACAGAACAGATCAAATTATTATTATTCCTGTCCACGAAAAACAATTAGATGGTATAAAAAGATAATCTTTCATCTACTGGATGTAGTAGTGTGGAATTCTTGCTAGATCTTAAAAAAAAAGACAGGTTCTCAAATAAAGTTTATAGAATACAGAGAAGCAATCATACGATCTCTAACTGGTATCGATTATAAACAGAATGGAAGGTCTTTGGTTCAATTTAAATGTGCATGAATGAAAACTAATGAAATTAACTACAATGGAATACAGCATTTTACTGAGAAAATGTTTCATATTTTCCTATTCATATAGCTTTGTAGGTACATGAAGATGTCCTTTAGCATTGTAAACCAGGTTATAAGCAGGGAATTTGAAAATAAACATCATATTGCTACAAAAAATTGCATATAAAAACCTGCACATGCTTTCATAGCATACTGAAAATAATGGGTAATAATTATAAAATTAAAATAAATTTTTTGTCATTTCTTTATTTTTGTTTGATTATAAACTAAAATTTCATGTAAAACTCCCAAAAATGCTTATTTGAGTCATTAAACCTATCATTTATGTTTTTATTGTTTTTTTTTGTAATTTGTATTTAATTTTTGCTGTTATAGCCGCCATTGACCCTATTACTTAGTGTCTACAGTCCGTAGGCGCCATGATGGTAAAGTAAGTTTATTTAAGCAGAAAGAGTAAAACTATACTTCGAATATTCTAAAAACATAAAAACATATAGTGTTATTTTCGAACTTCTCTTGTTCCTACTGTCCATCAGTGTGTTAAGATGACCGAAGAGATTAATTTTTATGCACGAATATATCACAAAGCCAGACTGAAAGTGAAAAGGGAAGACAATTTTAAGGTAGAGTATAAAATAAAACGGTAAGAAGAATCAAAAAAGGAAAAGATAAATAAAATCAATAAATTTTAGATGCTCTTCATTATTATACACGATGCATTATTATTACCCAATTTGGACTTAACTAACGTGTTTAATGCATAATTTATATGACTTATCCAGCTACTGAACTACCTCCTAGATGTCTATAACATAAGTCACGTCCCGGAAGGGTTGTTAGTTTGCATGGAGTACCTGCCCTGGTTGTTGCCATGCAGTTAGCCCTCGAACTAGTATTAAACAATGGAGTTCGACTTCTACTTCTAGATGCCGATCGAGGCAGGTAGTCGCCATTTCTAGAAGCGGGAGGTGTCATATTATAATCTTGGAAAGTATCTGCGTTTTCACCTTCATAATCGTCATCATCATTCTTCGATATATTACTTCGTTGCGTTTCTTTAAGAAGATCAGCGTTATACGAAGTTTTTACTGGCGCTGGGGTTGGTGATCTACTTTTTTTGGAATCCCTTTTCCAAGCAATAGCTCCTGCTATGGTTGGTTTCAGTGCACACGCCCATATTATTAAAGTTTGAGCTGAAACAGAATGTACTTTTAGATATATATATATATATATATATATATATATATATATATATATATATATATATATATATATATAATAAAAATTAAGGATAACTCGAAGATTGGCGGGTTTTTCGGTCAAAAGTTGGAGAAAAAAAAAGAGAAAAAAAAGACAATATTACATATATATATATATATATATATATATATATATATATATATATATATATATATATATATATATATAATGTAATGTAATTAATAAATTAAAAGTGTACTAAAGTCGTAAGAAATTTCCAAATATGCTTAGATCGTAAAATATCAGAACATCCCAGAAGTGAGGTATATCCCACTGAAATTAACACAAATTGGGAGTTTATGAAAACCACGCTCAAAGAGACCGCAGAGGAAGTGCTGGGTGAAGTACCCACAGGACAGCGAAACAACTGGTTTGATGAGGAATGCCAACGAGTAACGAAAGAGAAGAACGACGCGTATCTGAAAATGATCAACAGAAGAACTAGGAGCAATGTTGAAGAATATCGAGTAAAGAGACGAGAGGAAAAACAAAAACACAAACAGAAAAAGCGGCAGCAAATCAATAAAGAGTTCGAAGAAATAGAAAACCTTAATAGAGAACACGAATACAGAAAAATTTTACAAAACAGGTTAACACAAAAAGAAAAGTTTTCAAGCCACAAGCGAACCAAGTCAAGGCCCTTAACGGAATTCTTTTAAACGAGAGAGTGGAAGTACTAGAAAGATGGCAGGAACATTTTAGTACGATATAGAGCTGAAGGTAGATATGATATAGAAATAGAACAGAAGGATATTGAACTACCAACTTTAGAAGAAATAAACAAAGCAATTCAGTCTCTAGCCAGAAACAAATCACCCGGAGCAGACAACCTACCCGCAGAAATATTTAATGGGGGGTTAACCGTTTGTAACCCTCCTTCACAAACTACTAATACAGGTATGGCAAGAACGCGCGTTACCAGAAGATTGGAATACTGGAATTATATGCTCCATACACAAAAAAGGAAACGTTCTTGAATGTTCCAACTTTAGAGGGATTTCCCTTCTTAATACAGCATACAAAATTGTGTCCCTGATACTTAACGAACGACTGGCACGGTATACTGACAATATAATAGGATCCTATCAAAGAGGCTTCTCGAAAAACAAATCTACCATTGATCACATATCATCCATCAGACAAATATTAGAAAAAACGACGGAGTACGACATAGACTGCCATTACATCTTCGTAGACTTTAAGGCAGCGTACGATACTATTGACAGGTCCCAATTATATTCGGCGATGATCGAATTAGGAATACCAAAAGGTTTGGTAGAATTAATTAAAATGACAATGATGAAAGTCGAATGTAAAGTGCGCGTACAAGGGGATGTTTCAAAACCATTTAAAACCAATAGAGGACTGCGACAGGGAGATGCGCTATCGTGCACGCTGTTCAACCTGTTCAACCTGTTAGAAAAAGTTATGAGATATTCGGGAATAAACTTAAAAGGTACGATATATACCCGTACTATACAAATAATGGCATACGCTGATGATATCATCATAATTGGAAGAACCCAAAATGAAGCAGTGGAGGCTTTCACACGTATCACAAATGCCGCAGAAAACATCGGATTTCTGATTAACATCCAGAAAACTAAATATATGCCGGCCATATTAAGAATTCAACAAAATAACTTAGAGGTGCAACACGAAACGATAGAAATGGTAGAAGAATTCTGCTACTTAGGATCACTGGTAGACTACAAAAATAACACATCCAACGAGATAAAAAAGAATATGCGTTGCTAACCGCTGTTATTTTGGCCTGGGCCCTCAACTAAGAGCGATGTCAATAGCAACAAAGTGCAAACTTTATAAAACAGAAATACGCCCAGTGCTCACATACGGATCGGAAACATGGACAATGACGACCCGAGATGAAGAGTTACTACGAGTCTACGTTACTACTTTTGAAAGAAAAGTGTTGAGGACCATATATGGCGGAGTAAACGAACAGGGTCTGTGGAGAAGGCGATATAACTTTGAACTCTATAGACTTTTTGGTGATGCAAATATTGTGAAGACCATCAAAATAAACCGCCTAAGGTGAGTGGGCCACGTTATGCGGATGGATGAGAGTGATCCCACTAAAATAACCATGCTAAACAGGCCGGTCGGAAGAAGAAGAAGGGGCGACCTAAACTCAGATATCTGGACGATGTACAGGAAGATCTGAGGGAGATTGGAGTGAGGGGCTGGAGAAGGCAGAGACTCGATAGGGAAGGATGGAAGAATGTTTTGAAGCAGGCCAAGGCTCACGAAATGCTGTAGCGCCAACTGATGATGATGATGATCATTAAAACCGAATATATATATATATATATATATATATATATATTATATATATATATACAGTAGTCTCTCTTTATAACGATTCCCTATATAACGATAATTCCTCTATAACGATGAAAATAGTAAACGTTGGTTGGTTCGTCATAAGCACAATGTATTAATTCTTTCTCTATACCGATATCGTTCTCTCTTTATATCGATAACTTTTCGGCGTGCAATAGTCGATAACGAATGTGTTATTGTGTTTAAGTTTAGACTACCTGAGTCACGAGTGGCAAGGTCATTGTCCAGCGGTTGTTTTGTTTTGCTCTTAAGGAATGCGACCACCCATTCTACTCATTCCTATCAGAGGGTTAAGTGACTCGCTTTTACTGTTCGGGCAGCGTGCCTAACGTTATCACACAGATGTTGATATCTATTGACGACTATTCGTTTCCAGTTTGAGTTGTGTCTCAGTGTGTCAACAGTCACCATGTTAACGAAAAAGCGTAAAGTGCTCTCGGAGGAGGAAAAGTTATCGATAACTCTAGCAATAGAGAAAGGTGAAAAGCAATCGTATGTCATTCGTCGTACAAGGCTTTCTCAGTCAACTGTCGGTACGATACGGAAGGACAAAAAAAAATGTGGCTTTAAGCGAAGATGGAGGGCGGTAGCAGGAAGAAGTTGCGGAAACCTCAGCACGAAGATTTAGATTGCGCTATGATTCAGTGGTTCCAGCAACAGCGTATGAACTATATTCCACTTTCTGGGCCTGTGGTCAGGACAAAAGCTTAGTTTCTTGCAACTGAGCTTGGAATTGAGAATTTTAAAGCATCTGAGGATTGGCTGAGCAAGTGGAAGGAAGCTACGACACAAGATCACCTACGAGCAAATCAGCGGAGAGGCTCGCGATGTTAAAAAAACGTAATGTATGATTGGCTAGAAAACGTGTGGCCTGGACTGAAGGCACGATATGCGTCAGACGATATTTTCAATGCTGATGAGACTGGATTGTTTCTTAAAATGACCCCAAACAGAACTTTAAAATTTAAATAGGAAAAGTGCGTTCTAAGGAACGCATTACAGTTTTAGTGGCCGCCAACATGACAGGTTCGGTGAAGCGAAAATTTTTAGTGATAGAGTCAAAAAACCCACGTTGCTTTTAAAAACATAAAAAATCTACCGGTGAACTACAAACAAACAAGAGTGCGTGGATGACTTGTGAAATTTTTGAAGAAGTGATAAGAAAGTGGGATATCGAGCATAAAGGAAAAAAATTCTTCTGCTTGTAGACAATTGTCCTGCTCATCCTGTACTGTGCGACCTTTAAAACATTGAACTTTGTTTTCTGCCAGCAAACACAACGAGTGTCCTTCAGCCGATTGACTAAAATGTCATCAAGAGTTTAAAAAGCCATTACAGGAGAAGACTTCTAATGGAATTGATTGAGAACAATGGCGATCTAAACATTCTTGATGCCACCCTAATGATTAGTAAATCCTGGGACAAGGTGATGAGCAATAAAATAAAACATTTCTTCAAACACGCAGAATGGCTTTAAGATCAAGGATTGACTGATGATGAAGACAACCTGCCATTAGATATTTGGGCCATACAGTTTGAACTCACTATCATCTACAGACCGGAAAATCTAACAGATTTTGAAGAATTTAATGAAAATGTAGCTACAACATCTGGAATTTCTGACGAGGACATCCTACAAGCAGTTTGTGTAGAAGAAGAAGAAAATAGTGACCCGGAACTGGAAGCAGAGCCAAAATCAGCTCGACCCCTCAGCAGGCATTGGATGCGGCAAAAGTACTGCATTGCTTCTTCATCCACCAGGAAGACAATATGAGTGCTGTGGAAGATTCTATGCATCTTAAGGACAAGGTCAGGTCAGTTCTGTGTAAAGGGAAAAGGAAACAGACCAAGGTGATACACTTTTTTGGTAATGTAGGCCAAATATATTTTACACTAGCATATTATTTTGTTATTGTACAGTGAACATGTTTTAATTATACAGTCATTTTTTTATACTGTAATATCTGTAATAAATTTATGTAGTGTACAATACAGTGGTCATTCATTTATATTCGTTTTGATAATTTTTTTTTAATTAAAATAGGTTATTTTCAATATAGTATTACTAACACACATATTACAGTACGGAATTTTGTTCCTCTCTCTGTATAACGATCTCTCCTTATAACGATGAAAATTCCCAGTCCCTTGCATATCGTTATAGAGAAAGAGGACTGTATATATATATATATATATATATATATATATATATATATATATATATATATACTATATACTGTATACTATAAATAATACGCAAACATTTATAATAGCGTAAAAAAATATAATTTAATGGTAGCTCAAAATACATAGAACTGAGATAAAGTATGGAAACAAGTAAATATCTTTGAAACTATGCATATTCTGAAACTTTGCATACAAGTACAATGACACAAAACACTTATAGTGCCTTATTTTATGTTACTACTTTAGTTCCGTTTCACTGGAAATACCCCCGAACTATTTAATTTAAATGGGACAACCTGTATATTTTTAAGTTTTTAAAGAACGTCTTATTAAAAATTTACCCATTCTAAGTTTGGCAGAAAAAATTTTTAAATTGAGAAAT